TAAATATTTCAAATTGTTTGCACATTTTAGGGGCCTTCCATGGATTTTTATTGACGGATTTTGATGCATTTTTCTTTTCCTACCGATAAACAACATAGTAGTTTTTTCTTCGGAAATTCTTAATTTATGCATGTCTGCCCACTCTACAAACTTATTAACCCATTCCCTGTCATGATCCCCATATGGGGATCGCCTACATTTGTATACATTGTGGCGTCATGCTGCACCTGGGTGTTCCGTTACGGGTGGTCATGCTTTCCTGGAGATTGCAACTAAGGGTAGAAAACAAACACGTGGACTCAGTTAGTTGAACTCACGAGTTTATTTTTCTTGCTCTCTCGTTACTTTTCACGAGAAAAATAATACGGTTATTTTCAAAGCACAAAAAAGTTACTTAGGAACAATTATTTTTGTTGTACTGAATTTCCCTTGATCATTGGTATGTAATTAATGTATTTATATATTATTTATTATCCTACTGTAATTTGGATGGGTACATTGAACCTAGATATATCGATCCCCATTTGGGGATCATGGCTGATACTGACTAAAATTGTAAAAAAAAAACTGTTTTTCTTTTTTTCCAAAAAAATGTCGCGTAAAAGAGATCTTTCTTTAAAAGAAATAGAAGAAATTGTAAATTCTGATGATTTTTTTGCATCTGACAATGACGACGATAATAGCCCCATAGATACTGTTGAAATTCTACCAGAGCGGGTTGATGAGATTTCAGATAATGAGGACATGGATGACAACGTAATTGATGATGAAGAACCACTTGATGTTCCCGGGTGTGTTGAAATTCACCGTGTGGCAGGATTTGTGGAAAATGTTTTAGTGAATGTAACTGAATCTTCAGCAAATGGTGTAAAAAAAGGTACCGGCTTACCACCTGCTAAAAAGAGAAAATAAGTATTGACTTCCAATTGGAAAAAGAAGCAACCTAAGTACTCGAAACTATATGAAAATTCTGACGTTATAGAGACAAGGCGAAATGATGTTATTAGAAACCTCAGGAAAAAATCCCCGGTAGAGTGTTTTGAAATACTTTTTGATAATGAAACTGTCACCTATACTGTCCAGCAGTCTGTAATATACGCCAGACAGAAAAACAATCATCAATTTCAGCTTTCTGATAACTGCCTAAAAACGTTTATTGGAATACTTTTCACTGGCTATCATTCACTTCCGCAAGAACAATTATATTGGTGTGAAGATGAAGACATGAACATTCTGTGTGTTAGAGCATGTATGAGCTGGAATAGGTATCTGGAAATGAAACGGTACCTACATATCATATCAGATATCAGAATATAACAAATACATGGGTGGAGTAGACAAGATGGATTGGAATGTTCAAAAATACAGAATCCGAATAAGGGAGAAAAAATGGTATTCTCCTTTGCTTACTAATGCCATCGACGTAACACTGGTTAACGCCCACGCACTGTATTGTATTTCAAATGATAAAATTCCATTGCTAGATTTTAGGAGGATGGTTGCTAGAGGATATCTTGCTTTATCTTCAGAATTCTCAGATGCAAAAAAGGGTGGAAGCGTCACTAAAGCGTCAGTTAATCGTATTCCTACTCTTATCAGAACATCTGGTAATCAATATATTGAACGGACCGAAAATGGTAAACAAAGAAATGTGCAGTATGCAAAACAAATGCAAAAAAAAATGTGGAAAATGTAATGTTGGATTACACGTAGACTGTTTTTGAACGCTGGCATTAAAAGTAGATAGTATCAGCCATGATCCCCATTTGGGGATCGGACTTAAATTTAAAATTTCTGAAAAGAAAATTGACGCATTTATGAGAAAAACATGTTTTTCTTATTATTTAGATGTAAACTAACAGAAATAAAATAAAAATTGATGAAATAAAAATTTGGCAGTTAATGGGTTAATCGCTTGTTGAGCTCTTACTTCAATATCCTTTACGCCTGAGATAATTAACAGAAAATCATCGGCATAAGCTTGCAGAGTTACTTGTTCAGTATTTTCAAACAAACCAAAGGCCGTATTAGCGACTAAGTTCCACAGGTTTGGTCTAAACAAGAAACCTGTAGAGAGCCTCTTTGCAAATCTTTTATTAAAATTTCATTATCAAGGATTAATTGAATTTTGCGTTGTTCCAAATAATTTCGAATTAAATTCAAAATTTCTACAGGGCAGTTTGCGCTATTTAATGCATCAATTATGTCCGGCCACCAGACCGTGTCAAATGCACCACGTATATCAATGGAGATGATTAACGTGCGCCTGTTACCATCCCTGTTGCCTTTTACTGTGTTCAGCAGATTAGAAACAGCCATTTCAGTTGAAAGCCCCTTTTTAAATTCAAATTGAAAGTCGCTGATCACTTTATTTTCAGTTAGAAAATAATTTAGTCTGTTCAATATTAATTTTTCAAAGAGTTTATTTAAAGAAGAAATAAGCCTCACTGGTCTATAAGAAGACAAAATAGCAGGATCTTTACCTTTTCTGCCAAATAAAACTATTTCGGCAATTTTCATCTGTCGTGGAAATAAAGCCAATTTCCAACATGCTCCTTATGAAGATAACAACAATTGGGGGAATTCTTTGAAATGTATCTTTATGATAATATTATCAAAACCGTCTTGTCCGGAGGCCTTCATAGACGATAGAGAACGAATTGTATTTTCTAACTTCTCAAGCTCCAGCAGGGCAGAGTCACTTACAGTAGAATTCCAAGTGTGATTTTTAAATTTTTCTCGCATTAATTTACGTAAATCCACATCGTCAATCTTCAAATAAATGGAAATAACTCATCTAAGATTTTTTTATATTTCTCTCCCGGAGAAACTCAGTCCGAAGCTACCTCTGCCTGCAGCTGAAGAGGTCGAAATACTTTGTCCACTGCAATCTTTTGAGTGATGTCATAAGGATTTTCAATAGCTGCACAAAATGCCGTCCAAGATTCACTTTTTGTCTTTATAATCAATCTTTAAAAAATGGCTAGTTCCTTCTTATAAGAAATTTTAAGTAAATACCTTATATTGCCATCCCTTTCTTTTTGCGTACGTCTCCTCAAAGCACGAACTTTGTTCCTTTTCATTGTCAGCGAGTCGGACCACCATGATGTAGAGGTTTTAATCCGTACTCTTTTCGACTTAGAGGACGCTGTTGCTGCATACATCAATGAGCCAATAAAAAGGTCGTAGTTATTTTCTAAATTCCCTCGAGAAGTATTAGATTAAAATAAATTTATAAATTGAGAAATTAATGGACGAAGTTTCTCAATGAATTTTTCATGTCCACCATATGAAGATTTAAATCTACGTTTCAAAATTATGTCTTCCGAGATTCCAATTGCAAACAAAATAATTTGATGATCACTAATAGAAAAACTTGTCTACACCCTCCAATTTGTTATAGAAATTGAATAATCCCTTGATCTCTGTAAATTTACTTGTGCACAAGTCAGACCCTAGATGCTCTGAGTAACCGGTATGTTCATTAAATCTGTCACTTCTGAATGTTTCTGAGGCGAAGAATCTCCTGCCTGTAAAGCGGATATTGTGATGAGCTAGCCTGATGTGATTTCTCGTCGTTCATTCCTGCAGAGGCGTTGGAGTGAGTACAATTGACGCAATTTGCAATGCTTTCGGAGCTTTCGGAGTAAGGTGGCCCTTCCCGCACTTTGCACAGGCCAGTGGATATTTGCAAATTCGACTTCAATGACCAAAGGCCTGACAGTGATAACACTGCGTCACTTTATGAAATTCTCGAAAGAAGCACAATGCGAAACCAATATAGACTCTCTTCAGGTCCTTCAACAATTGTGCCTGTTCTCTAGAAACCTCTACAAGCCAGTTGCACGTACCGTCTGTTCTGGGTCTGGGTTCCCTGGGAAAAACAAAATTCTTCTCACCTGAAGATAAGAGTTCTTGAAGAGCTATTTATAGTTCCTCAGAAGTAGGATCCTGAGGAACCCCAAAAACTATGAAAGACACCATTGGCAGTCTTGGAATTCTCAAGGTCCAAATCCGAGTTCCTTCTAAATATTCAGATCCGAGTTTTCCAAAATGGCTTTTTTCAATGTCCACCAATTGCTCTTCCTCTTTACAACGAACAAGTAACTCTTTAGCTCTTCTTGGACGAACTTGTAAAATATTTACTCCGAGCCTTTGTGGTTTAATTCTCTGAACTAATTGCGTCTTATTACTGTTTGGCGATCTACTTGTATCTTTAGCCTTGATAATCAAAACGTGATCCTGTTGAGCTGGAATCTTCCTTACCTGTGTAGGCTACGAAGTAAGCCTAACAATTTCTGCAGAAGATAACTCCGAATTCACTTTATCAAATTTACCATCTAAACTATGTGAATGACAAGCCTGTAAATCGGACGCTATTTCCGAATGTGGTAAGACAGTGGCTTGGTCAAGCTGTGTTAACTGATTAAATTTTAACTCTTTTTTCCAAAGTATTTTTTCCAACAAAGAATTCTTTTCCTCCAATGAAGAGACTCTTTCGTTCAAGCAGACGTTAAAACCTTCCAGGTGAGCTATGTATAATTCACGTTTGTTTGAATGTGATCTGATATTGCTTACAAACTTTTTAAGTTTCGCTGCATCTTTATTATTTAATTTAGGTTTTGCATTAGCATCAACTAAAAATGCTAAGATACCATCATAGGATTCATTAATAAATGGCTAGATGCTAATTCAGAAGTCAAACAACAAAAATCAGCGTTATATTTAAAAATTTTCACAAGACTAGTTTCGATGGTTTTACCGAACTACCATCCTCACCTGCAAAACCGCAAATGAATGAATGAGTGAATGATTTCATTTGCGGCTTTGCAGCTGATTTATATTTTAAAATATGGGATTTGCTTGCAAGGCAAATGTTTTGGTTTGGTTTATTTGAGCATGGATTGCCAGGATTGGATCCCCAGACCAAACTACTAGTGTTCAGCGACATTACCGCTCGACAGCTGGTGTAAGGGAAGAAAGACGCAAATATTTAGACCTATATTTGATATCAATATATTTCCGAAAACAAGCTTTTTTCGAAACACAGTGGAAAAGGGTATAAGGGACATGGCGGGATTAGAACCGGTGATTGATTTAATAATAGTCGCCTGCCTTTCACTACAGTAGTAAGATTTACGCACTGCTGATCTGGTAAATAAACGAGTGTTTAATTCTGCTACGAAGAGTTAGAAAAAGCTAACAAAACTGTGATAAACTTATATGAGAGTGATCTGCGTTTTTGATAAAGGAGAACAAAAAATGATTGGTGGATAAAAATCCGATCATTTGAAATAGATGAAAGGCTTGTTACAAAGCAAAGGAAATTTTTTTTTCCCCTGCAAAAATTTAGGGAAGAGTGAAGGCAACTTTCTTAGTTACAATTGAACAACGTTAAAGAAGGAAGCATCATCTGTTTTGATTCTTGTCTGGATATCAAATTGAAGAACTAAAGAAAGCTAATTTATGCACTAAACGGTTAGTCATACCTTTGTCGTTGTCGAAAGCGGCGTATACACGCGACACGTGAGAGGAATGTGCATATCCACTAAAGGAGTAACAAAGAGCACAAAAGCTCAGCCATCACCACCTCGAATCATATTTAGCGGTATTTATACGTTACGTTCACGAAATCACTGAAACAGTAATTTTGAACTATCTGCCTAATGGGAGGGATGCCTTCCTGGAGGACTTTCTAAGGGAAACTGGCTCGTATACACGTTACACATGGGAAAAACCACGAAAACGCCCATGCAGCCAGCCCGTTCGCGGGATTCGAACCTCGGACCGAACTACCTGTGTTCAGCGACTTTACCGCTCGGCCGCTGGTGAGCCAGTCCTTAAGGGGAATGAGTGTGAAAACATTCTATAATTTTCTTTCTTAATGTTAAAAAAAGTAATTTTTGTATTCGAAATGATTTAAGTTCTTCGCTTTATTATTCTTCAAATTGCAGCTGCTTTTGTTTTTAACTAAATGTAGTCATGAGTAACTAAATGTAGTCATGAGTAACTAAATGTAGTTATGAGTATAATCTGTTTATTTGAGTCAGCACTGATTAGAATTTAGACTTGAAAGTTGGAAATATTACTTTTTATTTCTTATATTCATCTCTCTACTATCTAATCACTAAGGCTAGACTAGAATATTTCAAATTATAATTTTGCTAAAACATCGTTTCTTCTTCATGCTTCGTTTCCGAGCCTTCATGTGTCCAAGCACGTGTCATTTCCGAGCATCATAAACTTTCATGTGTGTCATATCATTTAGGCAAATTACCGTGAATTTTGTGCCTTAGATATTCCGTGTGTCTTGATCCATCATGAAATGTTCATGAAAGCAGTTTTAAAAGCATAATGTTAAAAAAAAAAAAAGAAAATTCTGACGAGACGTATGCTTATTTTAAGCGTTCAATTGATTAATCCACGATATAATTAAACGTTTTCCTTAAAATCACGCTAAACATATTCAGGTTGCCAAAACTTAAATAGAGCTTCTAATTTATGTCGATCAAATAATAATAAGACATTTAGAGAGAAATAGTTTTTCCCTATCAGCTCATATCAAACACAATTTGTGCATGAATAAAGCTGGATATATATAAACCCTCTGCAATGATTCCATTGATGCATTTTTACAGATACCGGGTATTTTTATA